ATCGCATGCGGGTCCGCGAGCAGCAAGCGGTTCTGCGAGAAGCACCGGAAGGAAACCGCCCCCCGCGAGTGGTCCCGACTTCGTTATCCCATCATTGCTTGGGACCGCCTAGATGATCGGTTGACTCAATTCCATCCTCGCCTGCGCCGGATCCTCGATGACTCCGGGTACCGCTCCCCCTATAAGAGTGTTGTGCTCAAGAAAGTGCGGAAGCATGGCAGGAAGATCCTCTCTCAGAGTGTCCTGCATAGTACCGGCTACTATGGCCTTAGAGGCCATGAGATCCTGTGAGTGAAGAAACACACCCCCCAACCCCAATCCCGCGAACCCACCCGAGGAACCTCGTCATTGACCTTCCCCCCAGCTCAGCGCATGTCGTGTCTCACTTTAAAGATGCTATTAACTCACTGGCCGGCATCGATAGCGTGGCGTCGAAGTATGGGACCGTTGTGTATGCCCAGGAGGTCTTGGTTCCCGAACTGCTGGAGATGTTGGTTCAGGAGGACATGGGAGTCGATGCCAAAGGGGCCCGCTGGATTCTGAAGGAGAGCAACAAAATCGGGAATTTGCTTAATCTTGAGTGAATCGGGAACATCCTTTTAGTAGATTATCTAGCTGATTGAGTAAGCTGTCTAAGAAGTGGAGTGGACCTAATTACAGAAATAGTTGGACACGTTAAACGGTATGCATTGAGCAGGCGAATATAAATGATGCTCATTCACCAGAACCTCCACGTCTGATTTTTGTCTCGCGGACAGCCACGGCAAGGTATGAATCCTACAACTCTGACATGGCATTTATCCATCTACGAATAAAATTTTTACAAAATTAAACAGTAGATACATTATGCCCTCAATATAGATCTCTCCAACAAGCTCTTGTGGGCTCCACTTGAGTTAAAGGTCAACAAGTTCATCAAAGGTCAGATGTTCGTCCAAGCGCTTCTCTACAACTTGCTGCATCTTCATCCGAACAAACCGATCCAGCCCATCCAGCTCGTCCCGAGAGAGAAGAGAGAGTCTGTCATCTAGAGAGTTCAGACGACCAAAGTGCTTCTCATCAAGAAATGTCCAATAAATATCATCAAACATGAAGCTCCTTCTTGTAGCAAGACAGAACCAAAAGAGCCCACAGTCCAGAGAGCGTTCCATCCGATCTGATAGGCGCTGTGAATCCGTCAAGGTCCCATTCCGCAACTGCCTGTCCTCACAAGCCCGAAGGATCTTGAGGAAAAATTGAAGCCTTGGTGTGTATCTGGCCAAAAAGTCATTCAGATCTGACTCCCAGGCTTCTGGCCTTTCAAACAGGAGCCACCATGGCGCAGTGCAGGTAAATTCGGTGGGTGCAACATAAGTAAATTCCCAGTCAATAACACCAGTAATGGTAAGATCAGACTCAGAGACGAGTACATTTGATGGACAAAAGTCATCACACCATAGGTGGAAGGGACCTGGTTCCCATTGAATATCCCGTGCTATTTTTCGGAAAAGACAGCGCGCTATGTACCTCTTTCGAGCATCATGTTCATTTTCAACGGCATCGTTGCGCTGATATTGTACATGAAGAAGCTGCTGGGTAGCAAGTTCCTCAAAGTATTCAGCGGCTGTTGGAAAAATCTTCCTTGTAAATTCAGCCGGAGGAAGGTTTCCAACACGCACAAGTTCATTCATATTCAAAGTCATCGGCCTCTTGGTCACTCGCCATTCCCCTGATTCGCATTCCAGAGCCCCAATGCTTGGGAAGGTGGGTTTCGAGAGCTCCAGCATGATCTCGGCCATTCCCCGATAGGCTCTTTCCAAGTCACTTAAGCCCACAGAAGGGTCCCTAAGCTGTTTGGACAGCAAGGTTCCCTCAATAAAAGTTGTGACAACATAAGGGCCGCATC